TTGCTCAGCACCATTCGTGGCAGTTTTCGTTGGTGTTGCTCAGCACCATCATTTGTGACAGTTTTTGTTGGTGTTGCTCAGCACCGTTCATCATAATGTTCATAACATTTGATGTCATTTCGTATTTACGATCATGTTCATTATTACGTTCATAACGTTTGATGGCATTGCATTTCGATATATTTCAATATATTTCAATATATTTCAATACATTTCAATACATTTCAATACATTTCAATACATTTCAATACATTTCAAACGTATTCATTTTCGTTTCGTTCGTCGGATAACTTTTGGCAGTTATTGCTGGATCTGATAAACCATATAAATGTAATCGTTGTGTTATTACGAGGGTGTTGACTTACGAAGTAGTAGATGTTAAAGATAGTAATGTAGATCGAATCGTATTCTTAAAAAGAGTGTTGTTATCGTCGTTTCATCGACAGGCTTCCGCGAAGGCCGATCCCGTTCACTTACGGACACAAACCATTGCATGCGTGTGCAATAGCACGGTAGCCTTCATTTGAGCAGGCGCCATGGATGAACTACTCGAGAAGGATAGCCAATTGGAAGCGGCAATCTCTGAAATTGAAGTTAAGGAAAATCTCTTGGTTGAGAAGAGCAGCGCTCTGGAAGCTGAACGACTCCGTTCTGAGTCCCTGGCCAACGAACTTGCGGCTCTGCGCTTCCTGCAACAGACTAATTCAAGTCCAGAAGCGCAGCCGGCTTCGCCTCCCCAACCTGCCGCCGAGGTCTCTTTACCTCAGGACAGGTCAGAGTCAGAAGTGCCCAATTAGCCCACTTTGCTATCTACTCCAGCGCAAGCAGTCAAGTCAAGTCCGCTCACGGCACCTCTACCGAGCTCTCCTTTGTCACCTCAGCCCCCTACGGCCATCGTCAACCAACATCCTCTTCAAGCCACTACCACTGCTGTTTCTCGGATGGAACTTGTGACTCCGGATCAAACAGCAAGGACTCGGTCCACCTCGGACCATCGCGACTGTTTGGACCCAGGCTCTACCTCAGGGTCCAATACTCCGTCTCTGGCCAGTTCTAGGGTCTCTGACAATCCCTCGGACGGTTCCCCGTCCTTGGTCTTCCCCATCTTCCGCCACCCTCAGCATTCTCCTCCCTCTGACCATGCTAAGGGTAAACGAGGGAAGAAGAAGCCATTGGCCAGCCGTGGAGCCCCCTGCTCCACAGCAGGGCCATGAGAGGCCCTCGATCGTCTGCCGCTCGGTCACGGCGTGCAGGCAGAAGATCCAGACTCAGTGGCCCCTCGACTGAGGTCCCCCATGCTTCAGTTGAGGAATTTTTAAGTTCTCTTCCTGCCGGTGATTCCTTTGGCGATGACCATAGATGCCATCTTTCTGCATTGACTCGCCTGGTCTTCCAAAACGTCAATGGCCTACCGGCCTCTTCGACAGGGCGGAAGTAACTACAGATCAATCAGTGGCTGAAAGAAGAACAAGTGGGAATTGCGCTGTTGGCCGAGACCAACATGCACTGGCCTTCTCTACCTGAAGGTCAGAACTGGAACGATAGGATGCGGCAAGTTGGGTCCAAGGGGTACTATTCGGCGACGGCACACAACAAGAACCGCGCCCGGCCAATTGCGTCTTGCTCCCAGTGTGGCGGATGTGTTGCAACCGTCTTGAATTTGGTCGCATATTGAGCCAAGTCATTTGGTAGCGACCCGTCTAAGCTTGGAAGGTGGGCGTACGTGCGCCTTTGAGGCAAGAAGTTTGCGATGCCATCCTCGGATAACCAAGTCAATGAAGCTGCCGACGCGTCACGGAGTCGGTTCTCTAAAGATTTGGTGGTTGTTGCTGTTAGAATAAAGCAAAATGTGCTCTATCGTGAGTGCCTTTAGCGCTCAGAACAAACTCTCTGCAATCTAATTTTGTAATCGACTATACAAAACTTTCACGACAATAGTTCTCCTGTGTTAGGTATACTTTGAGTGAAATTGTTCCTATTTGATTAATGTTTGGCTTGAATTGATGATTCAATCACACAAGTGAGTTCAACGATTTTCCCTTGGAAAATCCCTTGTTTACAGAACTCGATTCGACTTCTACGACAATTCTGTGTTGAATGCAGTACTTTGGGACATCTTGTATTATTCCCTACTGCTGCATCGTACACAACATCGATATTCCACTTGTATAGGGTCTTTTCCTGTTTGTGTAAATATAGATTGTCCAACAGACTTGCGTCCGGCAGACTTGCGTCGAATCCCGACATCACAATCAAAGTCCGATCGTACGTGTCGAAAACTTTGTACTTGAATAGTTTCTTTTCGGAACATAAAAACTCATATTTCGTCATATCCCAACACACTCCTGCCATTGTGACAATCACCATTGGCAGCAATGGGACATGCTCTCATTCACTGTTTATTTTGTTTTGTATTTTCATTTGAACATACATACTTGTCTGACCTAGTCCTGTGGACCAAGAATCAGATCTCTGAACTTGCGAAACTTCTCACCTTGCAATGGCTTAGTCATAAAATCCGCAATCATATTGTCAGTTGGACAGTATTCGATCTTAACATTTCCTTTCTCAACTTGATCTGTGATAAAGAAATAACGAA